AGATAAATATAAGTACTTATATACCATACCTATTATTTTTGTTGCTAATGTCTATATTTATTTGATTGCGCGGTTGGCGAGGTAGCTGAGTAATCGGCTGCCGCGCAACGTGTAGCGGGTTTGATTTCCGCACGGAGCAACTCTTTGTGTGATCCACAGATTGTTATTCTGGGTCAGGGTGTGACGTGTATGTGAACTTGTACGTTTGTAAGCGCACCCACGATACAGAAAAAGGTTTTATGATGGGGAAGATTTTTAAAGACAAATAAAAAGAAATATTTGTAATTGTAGGACCACAAACCAAATTTTGTATATTACATTTAAAAAAAGTTTGTATATCTATTTGTTTGTTATTCCTTCACCTCAAAATGGCTGAGGGGATCGAGATGAAATTTTAAACAGAAGTAGATATATGGTCTGACATAACACAGGCTACTTTTTGTCCCACGGAAACGCAGGCAAACTGACAGAAGCTGATTGGTCATAAAAATGTTAAACATAATATATATTTGCAACTATGTAATTTTGCAACTGCCTCGTGCTAACGGCCGAGTGGTCGCAAGTGCGATTGTCGGGGCAAGGGGTCTTGGGTTCAATTCCCGGGTCGGGCAAAGTATTATTGTGTTTTTAAAAAATTCTCAGTGGAAGCACAGAGTCTGGAATTGTGCCCGGTATATGGCAATAAGCTTACCCCGTATTACATGGGACTCATAACATAAAATAGTGAAAAGTGGGTGTATTGTTTCGTTTCGGGCAATGGTTCGCATTCTGTACCTATTTATGTACCTCTATATTTTGTATTTCTCAGTCAAGTCAATGTAAATTGTTTTTGAAAAATAAATGTCTAAAACCGTAAACCGTAAATGTTTATTTTCTATGACATGAACGTCCGTTGGTTTTGGCATTAAAGCAAGCTTGTATCATCGAAGCACCCATAGTTAGATAGTCGCAAACATTTCACGTGAACACAAACATCCCACACGATCATTAAAATTCTGGTTTACAGACATCCCGTTTTCTGTATTAAAATATTCAAGACTTGACGTTAGAGTTAAAATGTCGCGATTTTACACCGAGTGCTGTCTTTTACAGTTGGTGGGTAAATAATGTTTCTTTATTATTAGGTACACTGAATCTGAAACTGTGGTTTCACGTCCTCCATTGCAAATAGGACACCGGACAAGACAAAAATAAATTTTCGCGACTTTATTGTTCTAAAATATTTTTCGATTCAACGTTTTATAACCGTATTGTGGGAAAGTAGAATACATTTGTGAACACTCATTTTCTTCCCGTGGGTGTCTTTTTTTTAAGGGGGGAATATTATCAAATGACTGCTCCCGCCTGGGTGAGGCGAGAGGGAGTGACTCTTACTGACTAAAAACCACCCCGTTCCTTCTCCTGCACGTCGAGCCGGAGCCCCGGTAACCCGTTAGGTTCTTCGCGTGGGTATCATAAGATTTGATTTAAACTGTTATCTTCAACCTGCTTGCCAAACGAGAAGATTATGGAAACCCACCTCTAGTACTTATAGTAACTTATCTATAATCCCCTCTTTTGTAGAGGAGACCTATGGGGGTCACGGATTGTTTATAATGGTATTGACGTTCTAATCGTCGTTGATTAAAAGAATCATAATTTGTCTTAATCTCTTGATATATCATACCAAAATCCCCAATTTTTTTTATCCAAAAGTAGTCTCTAAACATCTGAAATAAGGTCTATAATATTAGCGCAAAAAAATGTAGAAAGACAGTAAATACCTATACACCTGCTCTTCAGGGAAATAATTAACAATCATATGATTTTTTTAATACTAACAAGGTCTAAGGTCTAAGACTAAGGGTCTTTATATACTTCGGGAATTTAATGAATACGTGCAGTTTTTTTATGCTCCCGAATACTGAAAGGCTACTTAAAGTTGTAGATACTTAAATATCGTGCCATCTCTGTCATTTTACAAAGAATATGTAGTGACAGAACTACACTTAAGTGCGGTGTAAACTTGAGTAGTGTTTGAGTATTTGAGCATTAAACGTATGACCTTTATTAAACTTTTAACGTTAGATAAAATATTTGTTAAGTACCTGTTATGCGATATGAGATAACCTATAACTATTCCCTGGAATAAGGCTAAATTATCTTATACTATTATCATGTATATTAATTACATGTGCGGCGTAAAAACTATTTTTGTAACTAGGTATATCCTTACTACTATATATATATTATTATAAATCGGAAAGTGAGTTTGTTTGTTCCACTCACTACTAAACCGATTGCTTTGAATTTTTGCAGACGTAAAGTTAGTAGTCTGGATTAAATAATAGGGTACTTTTTATTCCGGAAAAATTTGATATTCTTGAGGAAAAACGAAATCATTGGTATAGATGGCGCTGTGTGTATATGTCACATAGGCTACTTTTTATCCTTTTGTGACGCGAGCGAAGCCGTAGGTAAAAGCTATTTATGCATAAAAGCTTCAACGCTCTCATAGAAGTGAAGCGACACGACTAAAATTTTCGAGTTAAAATTTGATGTGTAAATGAACTGAAAAACACTCTTTTGGTTTATATTTCAGTTGACTCTAAAGGGATTTTAGTTCAGAATTTGCATACAGTTGAAATGTCATGCGAAATATTATTTGCTCATCTCTTCTCTATATTAATAATTTCGTCAAGGGGTACGGTAAACTCGATCGAAACATTACCTGAATAACAAAACATATAAAATATATATTTCGAGTCGCCAACATATATCTGCAAAATTCGGATTACAGAGATTATTTCGTTTCATTAATTCATTAATGACACTGACAGACAAACCGCAGTCGTCATCTTGAGTAGACAATAAACGATCCGTTTCATACTAGCTCTCAAATACGCCTAATCAAAACGTTGTCGCGTCAAAAAAGTATAAATTACAAGAAATATGAATAATTTCACGCGAATGAAGTCGCGGGTAACAGCTAGTTTATCGTAATCCTACTAATACTGTACCTAAATGTGAAAATAAACAAGTCATAATCAATTAATTATTCATGTCTATGAAAATGTCATTATTGAGAAAACATATTCTATAAATTGCACAATCATCATAGTCAACAGCCCATGACAACGCCACCATTTGACTGCACATCCTCCACACAATATGAGTGGCTGACCTTAATCCTTCTTCTTCTTAGTATTAGGTACGCCCTTGATAAGGCGGTCGTGGCCATGATACCGGTCGTAGGTACATCGCAGTTCAGTGTTGCTCTTGCGATACTTCTCCACGATGTTTGCCTGAGTAAGAACTGTCCATAATGCTGGTGGTCCCTTAAATGTGTAGTGTAAATGTGTGTGTAATTAAATTATGTCCCCTACCTACGTTTAGTTACACGACTGTTTCGACACCCACGGGAATAGTATGGGTGGTGAAATTTTTTATTCTACCGTCATGAAATTGCACAATAGTCTACAGTATTTCGAGTTACGAACGACCGAAAACCAATATCGTACAATTTAACAATATTGGATTTATTAATTGCTAAGATAAACTAGATAATTCAAGTATCAATTTAATGTCGGTGTGACATAGGTATATCTATCTATGGAATAATCTGACACATTTCCCACAAAGTTTCATAATGTAGAACGTAATATCAGCCAATTCGACTACTTTTCATAAAACGATAGAATCGAGTACAAGTCGCTGTATTGGGACGAGTTTCACTTGATAAGCTCTTTGTCCAGCTGTCTAGTGTCCAATATCTGTCGCAAATTGTGTCCGTCGATCGTCACCCGACGAGTGACGTCAGCAATAAAAAAGAATGGCGTAACATGGATTTAACTTAAAGAGAATTGAGGCTATCGTCATGAAATGATAAAACACTAATTTCTGACTCTGTGTGGCGGCTTCCTTTTTCTGGGATAGCAATTAACCCATTTATTAATCAGAGTAGGTATATCTAATCTATCTATGTACCAAATCTTATCTAAACCAATAGTTTCTCCGCAACTAACTACATCCTGACAAACATTCGCATTTATAATATCATTTATAGTTTTTTTTTAAAGGGGGAAAATCATCGAATGACTTCTCCCGCCCGGGTGAGGCAAGAGGGAGTGTCAGACTCTTACTGACTAAAAACCACCCTGTTCCTACTCCTGCACTTCGAGCCGGAGCCCCGGTAACCCGTTAGGTCCTCCGCGACATATAATATCACTCATAGTAGGATGATAATATTGGTACAAATAACATTAATATTACACATTTTTCTTGTTTACCTATAAGATAACTACAATATCAAAAGAAATTTCTGTTGATCAAACAATATGTTGATAGTAAACATAATAATAATCTTATTTTATTGGGTTGAAACAAAGTTTTAATTTGTTTAGATACTAACGCAAATTAAATTTTGGGCTCGAATAACTACCTAAACATTTTTAATGTTAGGTTGAACCGTGTTTTCATCCCATAATGTTAACTAAATAATCTTTATGATATTGTGTTCTAAGTTTTGTAGTTTACAAAATTAATTTCTCGAAAGAAAATCAGCTATTATAAATACTTTAATGTAGGAATAACTTTTGTCAAATAGTTTACAAGTTCAATATACGGACGATTTTTTTTACTAAACATCGAGTACTATACCTCTATATTGATTGATATGAAAAATATCCAAGAACTTGCTTTCCCCCTATTTAATAGTGTCAATAGCATTTCAATCAGTGATGAAGTTTTGGCAGCAGAAGATTAAAAAAGCTATGATTTGTTCTTGCTTTTTATACAAAACAAATTTGCTAAAGGTCAACTTACTAAGCTAACGTTTTTATTAAAAAAGGTGTAGGTAAGTTAGCAATCACACAATACCCTAAGGACAAAACGTCGTTATTTCGCGTCATAAATTTTGAAACGCGGTATTTGAGCGAAGCTTATTCGCTTATCGTCAGTTAGATCAGGATTTGTTAGAGTTATGGGTATATTTAAACGTATTCATATTTATTTTCACTCACCGTCATGACGCATAACGGAGTCACGTAGAGAAGGCCAAAGTTCACCATGTCGAATAATTCAGAGTTGTATTTCCTTCGGTGTGGGATACATATTGTTTCCATGTGCCCGTCGCCCAGGTCATTCGTTATGGTCTCCACCCAAATGAACTTAGGAGCGCTGTACGCTGCACTTGTAATCCAGACGCCAAGAATCACCAACTGTCGAAGAAAAAATCTTTTAATATTTATCATAAAGTAAATGTTTATATTTGATTTTTGTTTTCATCCATTTCATCACACTTTAAGCATAATTTTCAAAGTTTAACTATTTTGTAGGCTCATGAAAGTGTTAGTGAATCAATAACTTTCAAAGTAAATTTTACATGATGTATAAAAAATCATGGAGGCATAATACTTAAAATTGGGAAAAATTATGCGAAACGAATACATAAACACGTGAAATGAAGTTATAAACAATATGTTTTACGGAAGTTGTAATTTCCGGCACCGACCTTTTACTGGCTTGATCTAAATATAGTGCTGTCATAAAAACAATAGGGTAAACCCGTTACCACTGCTGGGGTAATGCCCAAAATTTTCCAAAACTTTATAATGCAAAATGTATATTCATTCACCACAGGACGCTATTTAAGTTTTACGTCCTGACGATGATGTCATGACGGCTAAACAATGTTTGTATAATGATTTCTTAGGTACCAAATTCTCCTTGATTTCCTACATAACCGTATTATTCGAAAACAAAATCTATCTAACAGGTCTGACTTCAAAAAATAACTTCAAAAAAGAAGGACTTTTTGAAAAGAAGGTCGTCCTCAATTTGACCTATATGTATGTGTATAACAGACATGCGCAGCTATCTCGCGATTGGCTGAACCGATCTTGATGCGGTTTTCAGTGTTTCTTCTAAGTATTTGTTTCACTAAAGAGAATATTTTAATATATTAATTAACCGAGTTCCAAAAAAGAGAGGATTGAATTCGGTTTTTTTAAACGTACTTTATACAAGAATTATTTTAGACTGATGTGGTCAGCATATTTTCTGTCCGTCTACTTTTTAGCTGAGAGTTAGAGCAAACTTGCTAATTATATTTCGCACGGTACAGTGGGATTGAGATTATGCTGTCACTGGTCCAACTATGCTGCGCTGGATACAAAATTGCTTTAGCAGTAGCTTGCAAACTTTCAACACTGAAATACTGTTTAGTACTTTGTCTTTTACATTTTTCATGACATTGATCTATAATGAAAATGCCGCAGCAGTCCTTTAGAATTTAACAGAATATTCCAGTTAAAACATTTAACTGGTAAACTTAATCACGCGAAATCAATTCCAGGAAACAAGGAAATTGGATAATTATGTTACTTCGATAGATTGTTCAATACCACGGCGAACGGTCACACGAAATGAACTGTATTTGTCTCAGAATAGTTTACATAGTTATTCCGAAATGTCGACCTAGTCGGAGAATTGAGGAAGTCAATTCAGATGAAATCGTTCCCTCGTGTCGCGTTCGCCGTTTTGTTTGTGACTTGTGACACACTGAATCTTACCCTAAGTCGCGTCGAAGTGAGGATTTGCTTGCAAGTGATGGGGTGTATTATAGCGAAGTATCTCTCTGTGCATATCACCACTAAGATGAATATAGACGCCGTGTAGCTCAAGGAATGTACAAACTGGTACATCTTACACAAGAAGTCACCAAACACCCAGCTGTAAATAAAAAAAAATACGTTTTTATTTAATGAAGCAAACAGTTATTATATTTTACTAATTTCCTTTTTTATGTCAAAATGCTTTTAGTTCTGTTTCTGAATTAACAAACAAAAGAATTTGATACTTAATTGAATATTTGAAATTGGAACTAGAAAAATAAAAACAATTAATTATGTATAAAAAGAGGTTTTATTTTATATGCATACTTTTTTACTTATTTGTCAAATATTTTAGTGGCTAGTAGAAGTTCAAATGTGTGAACTATAATAGGTTATTTGTATCAGATCTCCCGCTCACACTTATGCGAGTTGTGTGGCATTGTCATATTCCTTTGATGTGACAGTTCGCACGTTTGTAATGTCCCAAGTACATATTAGTGAAGATTTCGATATACATATTAAACTATGTACTAACTTCTGTTGTGCAAAATAAATTAAATCTTTAGGCCGTAAACATTAAGGCGAACTATCTAACTAAAGTGTAGGTTCTTAACTACATCCAAGGCCTGACTATCACAGTTTACAAAGCACTGTAATTAATAACGTAGGTAACCCTTAAATACTAATTGATTTAACGTTTAGGGGTCTAGTTTACGATCCTTTACAACCGACAATATATTGGATTATATTATTACCTAATAGTTACTTCAATATTTCAACTTGTCCCTTATATTAACCACAATAGGGTTTACAGTTTAATAACGTCTCCGTGAATATCCATTTATTGTTTGGAAACAATGATAGAGAGTACTTGTTTATTGTATTGTTGGCTAAAAATAACCTAATCAATACATAGTATAAAACAAAGTCGCTTTCGCTGTATGTCCGTATGTATGCTTAGATCTTTAAAACTACGCAACGGATTTTGATGCGGTTTTTTTTAATAGATAGAGTGATTCTTAAGGAAGGTTTGTATGTATATACATATTGCACCCGTGCGAAGCCGGGGCGGGTCGCTAGTTCAATATAAATAGCAGTAAACGCTCTGAATAAATCGAGTCCATTTCATTTAACATTTTCTCTGGTTCTTTAAGATAAAATTATTGTTAATGCCGAGAATAATCTAGAAAAACTATGAAAATTAAGTTTGGACTAACAAAGATTGTCTGCTCGCAATGAGATTAATACGTTTCATTTGTAAAATTATATTATACAGCCAACGATAGTGAACGTGGGCGATAAGTTAAACTCCATTTTTTAATGAACTGTAAATACTTTTGATGCAATAATCATATTTCTATTTTAAAATTCGCTTTGAACAATAATTTTGTCTGACGATGGAAATTTATTTTCTTTTGATTTTACTGTTATTAAGATAATGCTGTGCTGATCCTAATAGAGCCTATGAAAAAAGATCAGACACCGAATAATTGTAAAAAAAAGTAAGAAATTTAAAAATACAGCTCAATATCGTCTATTTCTTTGACAATTATAGGGTTCTTTTGCGCTACGACGCCCCGGGTACACATCTTTTGTCACCAAAATTATGAAAAGTGAAGATAACCTTACTAGTACTTTTCACCGCCAAAATAACAATAGGCGAGGTCCTTGAAAGCCATACTTCAGTGCTCCCAAATACTTCAGACAAAAAGAAACACAAAAGTCTCAACCTGAACTCGGATTCTTTTGAATAAAACATTACTTTTGAATGCAGAAAATAAACTTGATCAGCAAATGTATATTGGTAGGAGACAAATATTTGAGAATCATGTTTTAGTTGTACAAATTGTATTTGACCACTTCAACTTCTCACTCAACTTTGTTCCTCTAAATTCCCCAAAGAAGGAGGGTAAGTCGGAACCAATTTCATCAAATTATTATTTATACATTTTAGGTTGTGCATGTTTCTTCTTGCTATGACTGAGTGTATCAATCAAATACCAAATAATCAAACTTTAGTGTTATTGATTTCTAACTAAGTTTAAACCTTATTTAAGCGTAACAAAATTTTATGAATAATGTTCTCTGTAACAACTTGATTAAATCCTTGAATTTGGAAGTATATCATAGAAATTATTCTAGTTTCAATAACGATTAAACTTGATCTGGTGATCGCAATCGAGAGCTGGGCGCGGCCCTTTGTTTGATTGTCATGACGGGCAGTGTAAATTGAGAATTCAGAGAAAACTCGATGTAGAAGTTCAGGTTTTATACTATATATACATTGTCCTTTAGCATACAGCACCAGTGTTACGCAAGTCACACATTCATAGATATAGTTTACGCACACATAGACACAGATGTGTGCTAAACTAAGAGACCAATATCAATCATTGTACTCGCTCGGGCCGGTCACTCTCAGAATTGCCAGTCACGAATTCTCATGATATATAATCCTTTAATATTTCAGGATTCATCTGAAGGGCAAACACAAATCTCTGAACATGACTAGTGGCTATGTTTGTTTCGATGTCATAAGTCATTTATGAAATAATTTTTTGGGAAAATATGTATACCTATTGTTTGTGATTGGATATGTTGGATAAGTGTTCAGGGCACATACTAAACTAACAAAATTTTGAATGATATTACATAGTAACAGAAATTATCTTCAATAGCATCTGGGGGGCTAAAAAGGTAACATTGTACGTTTCATATCTGAATCATAATATGTGACAAATGTCATGTCATAAAAAGACAACATTTTGATGATTCATAATATGAACTGAAAGTGTTTCATATTTGCAATTCATCTAATATGACACTTTTCAATGGAAATTCGTAAAATGGTTTGCAAAGAGTGAATTCCTATACGTCAAATAATCAGATTTGTCAGATGTTACTCAAAGGCAACATTTCACAGTTCATCTAGTTTATATTATTAATAAATTAATGAAATATAGGAGATTTAGGCCTTTCTGAAAACTTTTTGGAGCATGCACGTGTTTTAGAAAGGTTTTCATATCGTCGGCGAAGTGAGACTCTCCAGGAAATGCAAGTTTTTTTTGAAATACCGGAGCCTGAATATGTTGGATTATTTCGCGTAAATAATAGTGTGTGTCACAAAATAATCCCAAGAGTTGGAAGTGTATTATAGCCTCTCGACGTGGTGGAATAAGTACTGTGTGCAAGATAAGTAGCCACCAAACTATTAATTAGTTATACAACTAAGTTGCAATTATCCCTTAAGATTTTTTCAAGAAAGAATAGACATGTACATCTCATGTATTTATTTATGTTTAAGGTATTAAGTGCACTAATACTTAACGCTTCTGGATCGTATATTACTAATAGGCATGATTGAAGTTGTATCTTCATATACCTTGGGTTATTTCATTGTCAGTATGTCTTTTCAACAAGTTTTACACTAAAATTATAAAATAAAACTCTAAATTGTGATCCTGTACATATAGTAAATATTAATGATTAAAATTGTGTTTCAGGATACGCCTATACAGAGTGCAAGAACTAATACTAATTCTCTAGTACGAAACGGACTTATAAATAAATAAACTTTAGTCAGCACGTGTCTGACGATTTAAAAATTTTGTTGTTTTTATTTGCCTTAGTTTTTTAGGTCTATAGCCATAGTACAACCTTTTGTAATGTGAAGAGAGAGAGAGGAGAGATATTTCAACTGATAGAGATATCATTCACAGCAATAAAATAAAGTCACTAATTTTAAAACATTTATTTCATAACCACTAACTAAAAGTAACCGAGGAAAGTGCAAACTATTGTTTTTTTCTTCTCCTCTTATAATATCTTCTGATAAATCAATCTGATTTCGTAGCGGGATCCAAGACAGTTAATTATGTCCCTGACACGCGCCGGACTTCAGTGTTCTGGTGTCATCTACTGTAGATCCTGGCTTACAGGAGTCGCAGCAGTTTGGGAAGGTTGTGGCAGGCTTGTCCAAAAAAACAGGTATCTGAAAATGAAACATGATGAATGAAATTAAATTTTTCTAAGTTGCATATTTTACCTTACTTATCATATTAAAGCTACTATCATTGCCTGGTTTATGGTAAGCTACAATAAAACAACATGTCATTGTTTCAGTTAACACAAATACATGCAAATGCACTTGTCCTGCTATAGTGTATCTTGCGATGAACCAATACTTCAGCATCGCCAGCAAGATTTGAGTACTTCGATACACCTTTCCACAGTATTCCGAGGCCGACAATGTTTTTGGGCGTAGTGCCGTTGTTGAGTGTCTGGCTCGGTATTAATGACTAGTATTAAGTACACAAATAAGCTAGTAACAAATAATTATATTTACCTTTTAACGTGTATTATTTCTTAATAGATAAAATCCATAGCGTTCAATCTTCGCCTTGGTAAGGGAGGAGCCCTTTTCTGTATCAATTTACTTCTCGAATTCCATTCACATCTCGAACTCTATTTACTGTTACTTACTTCCCAATGAAATAATGTCTAAGTTAAAGAGTTTAATATTTTTTTACAAATTTGTTTGTTTAAATGAAGTTTAAATTTACTGTTATTCTGACAGTGACTGACTGACGTGACGTATGAGCACGAGTCATTGCCAGCAAAAAGGAAATAAGAAAAACAAAATCAAATACTGTATGTAGTTTTCACACTGTATTTTAATGGATTTTCTAGTTTCTTGATAGATATGAGAAAATATTATAATTAAAAAACATTCAGGATCGAAATTTTTAATTTAAGTTATAATAAAACACAAGATAAACAAAACCGGTAAAGTTACGGTTCGGTTTTTCTCTATATATTTCTTATGTAGCAACATCGGCATCTAATATGATTCAGTTATGAAATGAATTGAAGGTGTTTCATATTTTATTGTTACCATTTTATGGTGATTTAGGTGATTCTCTAACAATTCATCAAATCTGTCATATTAGAAATGATTCACCCAATGTTACCTTTTTAGGCCCCCAGATATTACTAGAATTATTGAAGTTTCAAATATTTAATACGCAGAAGGTAACATCAGTTACAATTAATTTTCCAACATGTACTAGTATAAGGAAATATCGCCTAATTTGTAGTCAATATCCTAGAACACTTCGCTATTACATACGGGAGGTAGTATTTCATGTAGATGACAGAGTAATCAATGCTCAGTCGAGCACTCCACAGTTTACGGACACAAGGCCGATGGTGCTCTCTGAACTCTGACGTTAACTTCCATATCTAACGTTAACATGTCAAAAATGTTATTTCCTCCCTCATATTAAGCACTTTCAGAATATCCAAAAATTTCTACCTCTATATTCATACACTTGGGAGTAGCGTCTTTTTCATTTTATCGTACCTTCTATAACTTAAAACTAATAATTGTTCCTTTTACAACAAAATGTCCTCATTTTAAAGGTAACTAATTTACCTTTTATAGGACATACTAGTTTCTGCCCGCGACTTCGTACGTGCAATCCCGTTTTTTACCGTTCCCGTTCGTGATTGCCGGTAAAAAGTTAAAAAAGAGTATTGGATAAAAATTATCCTATGTCCGTTTCATGGTTCTAAGCTACCTTTCCACAGATTTTATCCAAATCGATTTAGCCGTTCTTGACTTATAAATAGTGTAACTAACACGGCTTTCTTTTAATATAGATGCTAAGAATTAATAGAATACCTACTTGTATCAGAAATGTAAAAGAAAAAACGCTAGTGGTTCCGTTTACTTGTTCTCAAGTGTAGATACCTATATTTAAAGTATCTGCAGAATACGGATACTCAAGTTCTTAGAAATGAAATGTTTGTACAATACGTTAAGTACGATCTCTTGTACCGAACTTCCATTCTCCTTTACAATTCGTGTCTCCTAATAATTTCTGTAAAGTTACGTCGAATTCGAAGTGATTTAGAAATGATCCTCTTGAGTATTTGATTAGGTAATTAACTTCGTTAAATATAATTTGTAAGCAAATATTAAAGAAAAAGTTTTATGTTCGATAAATATGTTGTTATTGGAAACGAATTCTTTACTTACACATACCTACTTACATATGGAAATTGCAAATTTCAGCACTGCAAATGATGTCTGTATATAAATAATTTGATTGCTCATCTATCCAGGTAATTAATTACTTAACCCATTCGCTGCGGCGGACACCTATCAGCGATTTTTTATTTCATATTCAGGTGCGGAGTACGCCTATCGGCGTTTTTTTTACAATTGTATATGTCTTGGAAAAAACCAGTAATATTATCCATTTGAGGTGCTGAGGACGCCCATCGGCGTTATAGACGAAAACCGCCCCGCACCTGAAATATAAAGTTACTTTTCTCTGCCGCAATGAATGGGGTAAGTACCTGGATATAAACACTACACATTTAAAATCTTAGGAATATGCAACAAAAAAGCAATTTTGTTTATGGAAATTCAAAATACCTATCATATAGGTACTTAAAAAGAGGTTAGTCATGAAATGACCGAATTTAAAAAAAAAGGGTAACGCTTAAACGAAAATAAACAAAACGTTCATTTGGGATTAATTAAACGGACACGCATTCGACATTAGACCTTGTTTACATAGTCTGTGCAACATGATACACCATACACTAACATGCCTAATATTGGATGGTTAGATGTATAAATGTAATCCCTTGACAGTGTCACCCTTGCAAATAGTTGAATAGTAAGCCAGACAATTATGGCCTCAGAGGAATATAAAGGTTATTAGAGGCATATTGAACTAATGTAAGTACAAAATGTCCGTTACAATTCCTTTCTAATCATATTTATTTTGATATAGTACATTTAATACATATTAAAATTGTCTACTACATGTAGTTGTGAATGTTCCTGTCTACACGAATTTTGTTGTACGATTGAACATCGAGGTTTTCATCTTTAGGGAAAATGTTGAGTACTTGATGAGAGCAACCGCGAGAATTTCCGTAGGTATTGCTTTGACACTCCAATTTCTCACATGTCACTTCACCATTATGTTAAAGTCTTATAACTTATGAAAATGAAACCCTAGATATATCCTAAAAACACAGCTGTTGATAGTAACAAAGTTTTAGGCACTTTGCGCCATACTTTTCCGCGCAGCCATTATTTTTACATTTGACCGGTTCAGGCCTTCTACTAACCACTAATTCATTCAACGTGCTGTTTAAAACACGGTGTGTTTACGTATTATTTTGTTTACCTGATGCTTCAATTCACTCACCTCGGTATAAGATATATAGTCAAATTTTGGAAGACACAAAACACGCCGACACATAAATCTGCCACGGCGAGGTTCGCCAAAAAGAAGTTGGTTATGGAGCGCAGCCGCCTCGATAAAGTAACCACGAGGATAACGAGCAAGTTACCTGAAACAAACATCGTAAATTACTGTTGGAATACTCCACCATTTACCAACATCATAAGACTACCATTATATTATACAATATACTATTTCATGAGAATTGATAGGCACAACAGCAAAACAATAATATTACTTCTAGGAATGTAACAAAATATCGAAATCCATACAACTGTTGCTTAGATACGTATATTGTAAGGATATGTTTGTGTATTATATAAACATTTACTTTAATCATGTTTCCTAAAACTTCAGGAACTTTTATCTACGTAACATGTGTGAGGGTCCGATATTTTCTTTTGCTTTAATACCTTTGTTACTGTTCGAAAATTGATTTATTCTTTATTATCTCAAGGCGTTTAACTCTCAAATATAAAATATATATTTTCAACCATCTAGATATATGTATAACAACTACAATATGCATAAATCACAATATTCATACCTCCACGTAGACGTTCAAACATCTGTGTACGTTAGTGCGAACGAGTTTATCCAAAATGATTGCAGACGCAGTGACACAAACATATGTGACGTTATGAATGGATTGGGAATCTAAATAAATATTCTGTTTACATTTTTTAATGTACCTACGTCAAATTCAACCGAAAAATGTTTCATTCACCTTCTGGATAAAAGTGCAGTGACGGGAGTGAATATAAAAGAGTAAAATACGTATTAAAAGAGTAGAAGTGACAACTCACTCCTACTCTTTTGTGGCTATTTAAGGAACAAAAATTTGACAGAGTAGCACTCCAGCGTAGCAGCGCCGGTTTATAAATATTTGACTGCATGTTTACCGCGGTGGCTGCCATGTAATGTGTCGCGGATTCAATTCCCGCACGGAACAACTTTTTGTGTGAACAACAGATTGTTGTTCCGGATCTGGGTTTCACGTGGAGTGTATGTGAAATTGTGTGTTTTTAAACTCACCTACAACATAGGAAAAAGCAGACATTTTACCAAAAGCAAGCTCATTATTTTAAAAAACTCATAGTCTAGCAATGAACTATCATAAGTTGGTAATATAATGTGTCGTTATCGTGTGTGCATGTATCGATTACACGTCACGGTTCAAGTAAACAAACATCGATTTGTCACAATCAATTGTTATCTATTAACAGTTAATCCCAAGCTTAACTAACCAGGCTTGGCCTGCCGCGGGCTTTTACATTGATTAGCAGTTTAGGAATAATAGAATACGTGGTTACGTCTCACAATTGAGAATGGGAAATTTTGAAATGTATTGGCCTTAAATCGTGTTGCGTATTATTCACTATGTTTTAATTTGTAGACTAGATCCAACTATCCTAACGAATAATCGCCGTTTACTCATGTGAATATACTGAGAGAAGCTCTACTAGTTTCAAGCAACAAAGGGACTTTTCCTCATGAGCAGCGAGCGCGGTCACGGCGCGGCGATGTCGCGCGCCCTACTAAGTAGTCTGCACTGTACAAAGTAGCGACTTTTAGTTAATTTAGTATGTCTCACGACAGTCATTTTAAACACATAATATCCTAACTAACATTCTAAATACGGAAGAAGGTTTGTTTTGTAACCCCTTTATAGTTATACAAAACCTCTTGGTTATTGCATAGGCTAGAAGCGAGTATTTTATAAATATTAAAGGTCCGTTTCACTATTCCATAGGGAAGGATACAAAATATGTATAACCATAACAATATCTATAACAATTTTACTTCCAGATTGTGCCTCTGTAAGGTTAATTTAATTAATTCTACGACCACCCTTATCCTAATCTTTGATCTTATCAATATCTATAACAAAGACCTCAATAATATCAAGGTTACGGAATCCAGATGGCGGGCGCGTCGTATAAAATACTGATTGGATCGATTTCGCTTAATATTCAAAATGAGCCTCAACATTTCTCCAAAAAATATAAAATACCAGAGTAACGGTAAGCAATGGTACTATTATTATAAGTTACATACTAAATTATTTATTACATTATTGCTGCAGCGGAACAGTCGCGGCGTCGTGTATCGCGGAATGGTATTCATGAATATGAGCCTCAAGTATGGCTGAAACTAGTCGAGTTTCTCGTCAAACAGTTCCGTGAGTAAGTCGAAAAGCATTTAATATATTTCTTATTTTTTGTATTCTGCTCAGCAAAGCGGTCTGTTTCTTTATATTTAGCAGTTGTTATAACTGACCACAGTCTACATATTCTTTTTTACATAGACTTACGTCATTTTTAATTTAGCAATTGTACAACGTAAATTTATTTTAAAATGGATAATTAGGTCATAACTATCTCTTCTTTTTCCTACTTACGTACTTATCGTATGTTATTTGAGGTTAGCAAGTCTCAATATTTTCGTTTCTTCCTTTATCGGAGATCATCCTGTCACAAACTCCTTTCTCTTTTACCACATTACTCACACAAACTACCCATATTTTCATCATCTCTACTTTCCCATTCAAATTAGGTCGTATCACTGTAGTGTAGATAATTATCCATTGTAATGAAACAGTTTACAAGCACGTTGTACGAATGTGTGTTCTAGTTAACAAAGCATTAGTAGCTGCTGCACAGCCAACTGAGAACATAATAGTCTTTTACTTGCATCTGACAGAGCGTCAACTCAATTTGAAATTTCCATTCCAAATTGATTCATAAGCTTCCAACGTTACGAAAAGGAGCACTGTTGTCACCATTTTAATTAACATATAATGGTTATAATTATAATTGAATATTGATTTATTGAAACAAGTCTCTTATATCATGTTACTCATTTTAATGGAAATATGCTCATTAAATATTGGTTATTTGATGCTAGCATTTTATGGAAGAATGGTTTATTAACTTATTACGATTATAATGTTCTTATTTTTGTTTATGACACTGTTAATGACAAATTGTTATCCTTTATCCTGAAATGAATGAATTTATGTAAAGAATGAAACTTCGTTTGATCCATACCTCTTGATCTATAAAAAAATGATTTCACGCAACATGAAACTCAGAAGTCTGAGCCATCATTATTAATTTATCCTTTACTCTCTAACCAACACTGCTTTTTAACTTAATTTCTGTTAATCTAGAAAAGTATAAAAACTCATTTGGCTAAAGTTTTATGGACGCTTGGACGGCAGTAAAATGGCACTTAATAGTTGTTTGTGGCTGTGTTCTGTTTAAGTGAGTAAGCTTGGGTACAATTAGACTTGCTGAACACTGCAACAGTTTGGTAGTAGTTAGCTCTAAGTTAACTTAACCCACAACTTCTGCATATAAATCAGGTGGGTCAAACAGATCGTCACAATGAAACTCTATACTTGCAGTTCACACGTAAAATAAGATTTTTAACAAGTCATTAGGTTTACAACTTGGAGAAAAAAGCAGTGAAACAGTAGGTACTTTTTTCGAAATGTCAAAAAACTAAAATTCTTCTAGGAGATTACAAGTTCTATCATCATTAGGTGTTTCGCGTAAAATAGTTAGCATATTTTTATTTAAGGGGGTCAATCATCGAATGACTGCTCGAGCCAGAGCCCTGGTAACCCGTTAGGTTCTCCGCGACAACTAGTTAGCATACTAAGGGCTTGTTTCACGATGGTCAGCTGCTAGATATATTCGAATTAGAATAATTTGCATGAACTGTCTGCCAGTAAGTCTACGGGTACTAATATGAAGATGGTGAAATACGCCCTACATATCTTAAATTACCTGTTAAACTGTCAAACACCAAGCGGTCACCGGTGACCGCAACCTATTGTTCTATAATTGTGTCTACAAAACCGGTACTCGACGAGTTAAAATAAGAAAACTAAGATTAAATGAATAAATAGTGTTTGTTATTTCCGTTTCATTAGTTACTGAAACTAATTTCATCGGCTGTCGCGCAACTTGTAGCGGGTCCGATTCCTTCACGGAGCGACTCTTCGTGAGATCCCCAAATTTTTATTCCGGGTCTGGGTGTCATGTGTATGTGCAATCGTATAAACACACTTACGACACAGGAGAAAATAGAACGGGGAACATTGCTTTATTTAAAAAAAATCTGATGGTTAAGGAAACGTCGACAACTAAGCAAATACGGCTAAAAGTAAAATTGTGAAGACTAATGAATCGTTTGAAATCTAGGCTTTTCCATTTACAAATATTTATTCAGCTATTAAAAATAATTTAGGACCCTACCCTATAATTCATTCAAATTACTACGTCGTTATTAAAATTGATAGTAAACTTTACTCAGTCCTATTAGCAGAACACTTAATTAAGTTATGATTTCATTATGGATTATATTTATAAAACTTCCTATTAAATGTTGAGCAAACAGTGCTTGAAGTGAAATATATTTATTGCAAACCATTATTAGAATTTAATTTTGTAGCTAGCAACAAAAAATGGACTGCGAAAGATATGGTTATTATCCGTTATTATGGCTTCTAAACAAAAATCTTTAGTATATAAGTACTCATGTCATGTTACGCACAGTGTCTTAGTTTTTACTGTTTTTCCTGTCGAAGGACTGCAGGAAGAGATTTCTACGCAAATATGTAGTACCTACCTATGTACCTCCAATTTATTTATATATGTGTTCTCCTGTGTACTGTCTGTGTGTTGTGCATAAATAGGTAAATAAATAAATAAATAAGCATCGCAAAAAAATAAGAACATTTTTATAATAACTAAAATACATGAGACATGCTGAAATAAAAATGAATACGTGCGCGGTCGCGGCGATTTAGAGTAGGCTGTGCGACATAGCCAGCATGAGCAAGAGACCCTCTTTGATTCGAAACTAGAACAACATTTCTCATTATACATATTTACGTGAGTAACTCGTTAATTTATAGTTAAGTGCTAAATAATTACTTCTATTGTTATTATATCCTTACTTGTAATAATTTTCTAAATCCGATAGGAAGGCTGATAGAGTTTAATATACAATGTATTACATCGTATGTGTTTTAAGAAAATTCCCAGTAATTTTGGCTAATATTATACAATCTTAAAAAAGCTATAAGAATATTATTGCGCTCTCAAAAGTCTTGTGAAATGATTTTGTGTCAAAATAATTCAGTTCAACTTACATCAGAACATTTTACCTACTACATAATAAACTAAGAAGGCTCTTAGTTAAGTTAAAATATGTTGGGAGATATTTTAAAGCTATATTTTCTCATTTAAAAATGTTAAGAACTCACTTATTAAATTACAATATTCGAATAATAAATCAAGTATGTCAAAGTCTTTTAAAAACATTTTATAGCTACTTTGTACTAAATACCTACCTCCATGAAACTTATCTTTTTTTAAATTAGCAAAAACGAAAATCTGTAAAATCTAGTTCGAAGCGAACAAGAAATTATCATGATTTTATTTTACAGTTGATCAAACTGAAACATACTCCACATTACTGTTGAAACATAATATTGTTTCACTTATTCTAATAGGTGCCTATACCACTTGATAATAATTTTAATAAATTAGCTCTCGCTAACTGACCTTAATTTAAAATGTCAAGACCCTTTGAAATACTTGATAATATTGAAATACCTAATTATATTGTGAACTTAATATGTGATTTCGACAACGATAACCTCCAGCTACGTGAATGTATTAAAAAAATAAAAGGTTTGAGCTTACCGCCGAGTATCAAAATGTAATTTATAAGCATTCATTTTATTGTTAATGAAGAAAAAACAGATTCCAAAAACACTGCTTTGTCGCTATGGGACTTATTTATGTCAATAAGTCACCTATATTTGGTAAAAGCCTATATATTTCGATTTCTCCTGGGTCGATAAGTGACTGATCTTTCGCTCTGCAAGAAGATAATATAGAATATTCATCAAAAATGAAGGCAACAAATAGAGAACAAAAAAGATTTTAGTGAAGTAATAGCGGTCGGGAAAACGCTATTCATCTCGCATGAGATATGAGTCTGACTGGAACATTTTAAGACAATGCCACACGTGAGAATTGTGCGCACAATTTTTCTTCCTTTTCAGCTGTGTTCCAGGTAAAACGTAGCACAAGTATACAAACTAACAACCACTAATACTCAATTTTAGATCCAAAAGTAAACAGATTTCGGTAGGTAGAGCTTCATTCAAGAATTATGAGCCTCGTAAACATTTCCGAGCAGGTAGGTACGTCGTTTCTTACACAATAAGATATTTATAAAGCAATCTCTAAATTTAATCTCGTTGATCTTTCACTACAACTGAAATAAGTAGCCAGATCCAGATCTAGAACTGCCGTAAAATCTCTCGACTTCAATAAAATTTATACAATGAAAACGTTGATGTAAAAATTACGGCAAGTCTGGCAAACAGGATTAGTAGAGTTTGACATTCCAACTAACTTGTAAGCTACCTAACTAATTGCTCTGAACTCAAACTTGGCTAGAATCGTGCATGGGGACGTAGAATAAATTGCATGCTTTTAAGTTACACTGCGCTGCGCATCGCTGTACGAAAAGCATTATATGGAAAGGTAATACTTTGTCATATATCTAAATTTTTAGTTTAATTCACTGAATCTTTTATATTCATTATTTTTTATGCAAGTGAAAAGAGTTACCTAAAGATAGTTTTAAAACTTACAAATTTTCCATTAAACTCATAAGTAAAACATAAAACAACTAGGGGCATATCCAAATATGTAGGTACATTCTGTACCTAGTTGCAAGTTCAACGAATATATTTATGTAAAAAGTTAACATCTGCTCGGCTTGAATGTTCCACCCACGTCGTTTTTCACACAAATCAATTCATGTGATATTTGAGAGATGCCACCAGATACCAAGTACTTATCCAATAATGTTGATAATGTCAATGATTATGGACAGACGTAATTGATGACTATTTAATTCATCCGTTGTTTCTATAGACAGGTTTGATTCATGGCTCTGCTAATGATGTGCGCATTTTTTTTTAATGTAAAGAAAGTAAAGAAATCACCTAATAATTGGGAAAATATTAGATATATGTAATTTAAGAATTCGAAAGCATGGCGACTTTTCTTAGTAAGGTTATTGTTATTTTGAAACGAACCTACGATAAAGAAAAACTTCGAACAAAAAGAAAAGAAATAACGAATGTACCGTACAAACAAAACCTACAAGAAACTTGGAGAATTCTAAGTAGCCAAGTGTTTAAAAAGTAATCAATTACCAACAGCCACAAAATGAGAAAAATTCTTAGCCTTTGACTCGGTAGTAATTTAGCGAAACAAGCAGAAATACCCGGAAATATTAAGAGTATTATCTTCAAGTAAATAAATCTTATGATACAATTGAAATATACTCTTATCTTATATTATATTTTACGACCCGCCCCGGCTTCGCACAGGTGCAATATGCATGTATTATACATACAAACCTTCCTTAAGAATCACTCTATCTATTAAAAAAACCGCATCAAAATCCGTTGCGTAGTTTTAAAGATCTAAGCATACATACGGACATACAGCGAAAGCGACTTTGTTTTATACTATGTATTGATTATCATCTCCATTACCAGAAATAAACCAAAAAAATAAATCAAAAACGCAAGAAGAAAATTGGCGCATGACTTTTTTTTGAGGGAGGAAAATCATCCAATTACTTCTCCCGCCTTGGGTGAGGCGAGAGGGAGTGTCAGACTCTTGACTTTACTACTCCTGCTCTTCGAGCCTGAGCCCCGGCAACCCGTTAGACCTTCCGCGGCTCCGTATCGGGCATCAACCCCCCTGGGCCCCATCTGTGGTGGTCTGATGGCTCTTTGAGTATGACTATTTTTTTACATTGTTATTGCTTCCTATGCATGAAGTAACAATATTATTACGATATCACAATCATAATAGGTATACCTACTAACTTCTACAACATTTATTTTGTGTGAATATAAAAGTATTCTATTTACAAACGTATAGGTAACGTTAAGACTACCTATATATCACTCAATATCTGCTACTGACACTTCTACAATAAGTCTACGAACAGTATGTTTGATCAAATCGTGACTACTTTTAGTCGCTATGTATCTATGCTATTAAATATTGTAGGTACTATTCAATTTCTTATGAAAAATATACTTACCAAAAAAACAGCAACAGAACACGATCGTATAGAGGGTAATGAATATAGCTCTAACATCCGTTCTGTCGAATATGTACTCATCGTCGCTGAGTGAATATATTGTCTGGTTCACTCTTGACACGTTGACAGCACTCGCTTCGACTGCCTCCGTCTTGTTAAAAGACCCCCATACATTGTTCTGTTTAAAATCTTTGCTGACGAGTAACTTGATACCGTACATATTTTCTGTTAAGTTGTCGATCATGGTTCATTCTTCAGTATTTCATACACTTCGTCTGCCATCTTCTGAAACAAAAACGAGAATGAACAACATGGAACCGGGAGACGATAAAGGTAAAAATATACATTCTTTAACATGTGGCTAGTGTTTTCATAACAAACACGAGAAATCGAGCTAGAACCGATATCGTAAATAAACAACCTTATCCTAGTATTTACACTAATTATACCACCCGCAGGTTATTTCTGTTGCGAGTTTTCCATCGCATTTTTCTTAGACATGTTTCTTTAACCAGCCAGTACTTAAGGATTTATTATCTATTTATTATGCCCGAATGTGTAGTCTACCTTCTGTCCGCAGTTTCAACAGAATTCTTGTGAAAAACGTGGGTATTTATCAATATATTTTTGGAAACACGTTTTTCTCACCCAGGTCATGGTCAATTGTTGCACATGGCTACTATACGACTGAGGCTAACACATTCATGACCAGTTTCTTTTATCAATATAGAACATAGTCTGATTTTTCCTAAAAGTTTTGCTTTTTAGCGTTCCTACATAGATTGAAATGGCTTTAGAATCTTGTTGCGTCAGTATTGTTTCGCCGTTTGTATACGGAAAGGTCTATCTGTTCGGATTACGATTGTATGGGCACAACGACTGATAGGATTACCTACATTGAAAATTGTACATGTTATACCTACTAGTACAAAGTTACGAAGATAGTTTAACGTTATAGTACAACGGTAATGCTGGTACTGCTCAAACTGAAATTCTATCGTCAAAACTTCCGAGACAGATGTAGAAGGGTTAAATTATAATGAACCTTGAAATCTATTATGATAGTTGTGAGAAATGTTTCTAAAATCCCAACCCATAAATCTATCATTCTGGCAAACATGTCAATTTCGTGATTAATATCGTGACAATCAAAATTATCGTTGGACCCAACATTTTCACGACCATTGTTATATTTTCCATTTTCCTGTTTGATCTCCCACTTCGACACCCTCGACCTTTGCATTTGATCTTTTTTCCCTTTTCGTTTATGATGTAATTTTCAAGATTCCGTCACGAAAACAAACTAAGGAATATCGTACGTTGCGTCGTCTAACCGTCACAAGATAGAATACTTTTATAATAAAAGATGGATAATTAAAAATTTTAAAAAGGAGAATATAATATCTTCAAACGAAGTTTTATTTCCTGAATAGTGTGATTAAACGATGGTAGTATTGTGTAAATTCGAATTGTACTTGACCTACTTTATTTTTTCATTACAAGTAACAACCGCCATCTTTTAAATACCACGAGCCAACAGAAATAAAAATACTCAAGAATTCTACCCAAAATAAAAACAGTCGTAGCCGAAGCAGATTGCTATTTATTTTATTTATTTATTATTTATTTATCTATTTATGCACAACACACAGACAGTACACAGGAGAACATATATAAATATTTTGGAGGTACATAGGAACTACATATTCCCGAAGGAATCTCTTCCTGCAGTCCTTCGACAGGAAAAACGGTAAAAAAAGAGACACTGTGCGTAACACGACATGAAATGTGTTAAATAAATAGATCACAATAAAATACATAGACCTATACATACATATGATAGATACACATCAAATAATACACATATTAGAGTATATTACAAATAAACATATTATACATATATATATATATGACACTAATTTGAACAAGATGAGGAAAGGTAGTGCTCCCTTACGAGTCTTTTAAAGATTGGGATGGATTTAGAATCACGGATATTAGGTGGTAGGGAATTCCAAAGTCGCACTGCATGAACAGTGAAGGAATAGGTGTAAAAATCAGTATTGTGTGAGACAACAGAAAGATTAGATTTAAGATGAGATCGGGAAAGAGCCTCAGGAGGGCGGGCAAAGGAAAAACGTTCACGAAGGTAAGAGGGATAATCGGGATTAAAAAGTATGTTGAAAAGAAGACATAAGATGCGAGTGTTCCTGTGAAGTCGGATTGGGAGCCACTTGAGTCTTTTGCGAAATTCAGAGATATGATCGTACTTTTTTAAACCAAAGGCAAAGCGTATACAGACATTTTGCAAGCGCTCAAGTTTATTTAGAAGCTCCTCCGTGGCATCCAAATAGCAAGCATCAGCGTAGTCGATCAATGGACGGATCAGAGACTGCATAAGGTTGATCCTCGTTTTCAGAGGTAGAAGAGACTGGAGACGCTTCAGCGAATGCAAAGAGAAATGAACTTTACGACTGATCTCGTTCACCTGTTCACCCCACGAAAGGTTAGAATTAATAAACACGCCCAGATTCTTGGCAACATCAGTGTAAGGGATAACATTGCCATTTAGGATCAAAGGATCAAGGGCAGAGATGCTCAATGCGTTGCGGTAAAACCTACCACCAATTATCATAGCCTTGGACTTGAGGGGGTTGATTTGCAGGCCAAAGGATTTGGCCCACTCGTCGACCCCACCCAGGTCACGGTTCATGGCTTCAATTGCAGAGTCGACCTCTGACAGCTTGAAATGACGGTAAAGCTGCAAGTCGTCTGCGTAGAGGTGGAAATTAGAAGTGATAACCATGGCAACGGTGTTAATAAAAATAGAAAAAAGAACTGGAGAAAGGACACCACCCTGAGGCACGCCAGCAGCGAGGTCACACCAATCGGAAAAGGTATCCTCTAGGCGAACCCGCTGACGGCGGCCCCTATTTATGCAAAGTAATAAATAAGAAACGTATAAAAAGAAACACTTCATTACAAATGTCTGTTTTTCATCAGATATTGTTTTGAATACTAACTTCTTCCTCAAATGAAATACAACTTCCCGGTCTTTGTACAGTAAGTAATACAATTTATTCGTACGTGTTTATTATTTTCTTTTGAGGACAGTGACCTGCGTGAAAGTTCTTTATTACATCTAGGTGACTAAAATATTGACACTAACAAAGTAGTTTCCAATTTGTCGATAAAAGGTTTTTGGAGCACAGGTACACATCGTCATAGTTTAAGATATAAAGCCTAGACGTATTTAATAGTCGCGGAGAACCTAACGAGTTACCGAAGCTCCGGCTCGAAGTGCAGGATAAGGAACGGGGTGGTTTTTAGTCAGTAAGAGTCCGACACTCCCTTCCGCCTCACCCAGGCGGGAGCAGTCATTCGATGACTTCCCATAAAAAAAATACGTATTTAATTCTTCTTCACAAGCCGTCATTTCACCATTTCCATCTGAGTACCACAGTTGGACACAGGTTTACAGTTTATAAAGTTATAGATTTAAAAACTTGGTTGTTGGCAGTTTTATGAAAATACCTATGGTGGGTAATTTTTACATGAAAATGTTGTGATGTGTTTTAATATCTTTAAATGTACATATACCACCAAAACACACTTTGGTATTCAATTTGTAATCGCCTTATACTGAACTTCAAAAAGTAATAAATATTATCCTTAAATACATATTCGTACATGTGTAAACAGAATGTTATTTTTCTGTTTTCCGACAAAATATATTATTTTGCAAAAACCGACAGCTTGCGAGAAAGATTACCTTTTCATTGCCAAACTCGCAGAAAGATAGCGAATAAGTCGGATGAACAATAGTAAATTGTTTGTAGATATTTGATTTCAGCCTTTTTCAGCTGTATTGTTTTATCAGTTAGTACGAGTTACTACAATGAATACATCCTTAGGAACAGTAGATAAATCTTTAGGAACAGTTTGTATATTTAGGAAGAGTAGATACCTAAATGTTTTTGTTAATGTTTAATTTCTGTTTATATTTTTGTACTTTCACTGTTTACAGGTACTTCACTGTTCCTTTTTTCTTTTGTTTATTCTTTCAAGTTTATTTTTATTTTGTATCATATAAATTTGTGTTTTTTTTTAATAATCTTTGTATTTGTGTGCGAGCCTGCAGTCGAAAAAATGATTTTTCTTTCTTTCTGTTTTTAAATCTGACCCAGAGATAAACATTTGTATGTTCTTGAAAACGTAATTATGGTGTGATGGCATCATTATCTTATTCGTATCTACACAATAAGAAAATGTCGTATGAAATTACGATTAAAAACATACATTCGTTCTGTAAGAGACCTAAAAATTCTACATCCACAAACATCCGTTTGTCAGTACAAAAATATTTTTCAGAGGTACGAATAAAACAAGATATAATAATCATAAAAATGACTTTAACAATATTTTAACGGTTGGTATGGTGACGTTTATTTCTGTATATGACCTGCTTTTTAACAGCTGCAGGGTTATTCTCTCTCAAAAATGAATTTTGGAGGCAATCTAGTGAGTAAAAAAAAATAAAAATCAACAACGGTAGTTACCGTTACTGGAGTAAACTGTGGGCTTTTGAGCGTGAACCAAAAAGCATATACCTAGGTAAATTCTCCGGAGTTGTATGACTTTAGGCTAAATAAAATGTATTTTCTAAAATATAAAATAATAAGGACATATAGTGACCAGATTGGCGATATATTAAAGAAGGGCCAAATTAAAAGTACCCCGACGAGCATGCATGAAAAGATTGATGACTGTTAATGAAGCGAAAGAGGTATGTAAGAATCGTAGTAATTGGCGTTCCTTAGTCTCTGCCTACCCCCATGGGAGATAGGCGTGAAGATATGTATGTATGTATGTAAGGTATGATGCCACTACACAGGTAGGCACTATATTTTACAAAAACTGCCAATTTTTATACGGAATGTTTCTTTTTATTACTCCCACCGGATTTGTCGAGACTTTTTTTCCTATTAAGGTTTTATAGATCTATGACAATCCTGACACTAATCTGGGTTTTATGATCGAGAAGATTTTATATCAATTGTGCGAACCTTCCCAGATCCTTTTGAGATTTATATCAGAACACCTGTCTGGGATTATTTTAGAAGGCAAATCGGTAATAAAATGTACATTTATTGGAATATTTAAAAAAAAACTCTTAAGATAACGGTTATTTTTAAACGGTTTGCTAAATATTGCGATGAGTCAATACCAACTACTGAATCTCATCAAGTTTCGGCTGAATGTGAGTAGTTTTACGAGTTTC